GAGTTTTCTTATTAACCTATGCTTTTATGGTTACTATTTGGATTGAATTTTGATATTTATTTTTATAACAATAGAGACAATAAGTTTTTTCACCACAATATTCACCACTTCCCCACTCACCCTCTATAAAATTTCTTATATTCTCTTTTTTATAATTATTGTTGCATATAGGACAGAGTACAGATCTATTAAAATCAAAATAATTACTATATTTAAAACTATATTTCAAAGTTAAATAAGGAAATCGTTCTAATACCATTTCAATAACATGTTGTTGCCTTTCTTCTGGGTCTTTAGGTAGAACAGAAATTGGGAATTGTCATTTAGATAGTGTAGATTGAATATTTACATGTGGTACAAATAAAGTCTTTTCCTCAAAAGATATCTGTGTGAATTGAGCATGGATTTTTTCCTATTCTTTCATAAGATCATCGATCCATGCAGTACTCAAACCACTTTTTAGTATACTATGACATAATAACTTTTCACCGACTAGCCTTTCCCGATCTGTTAAAAATTTACGATATTTTCTAGGGTCTTCTTTTCTTTCTATTCCACCACGATAGAAACATATATCTCTTTTCAAATCCCCATGAAAACATTCCGTGGTCCACCTATCTTTCTCAGCCTCAGTAATGATCAAAAATTTTTCAGGATCCATTTCATGTTTGATAGCATATTGGCGTAAGCCTGCCTCTGGCTGATAAAGGCGGGTTTTGTTTGGTACATTTACTTGAATTTCCGATAAGCTCTGTATAGTGATTATAACTTTCTTTTGATCGATACGAAAAGAGCAATTAAGAAAATAGTGATCATTTTTATCTAGACAACTCCAGTCACCCCATATACCTAAACGTGTATGTATTTCTTTGCATACAGGGCATTTAGCTTCTGAATCAGTGTATTTAAATACATCTTGATACCATGTATTCGAATTAGTATATATCAAGAAAGGGAAGTGTTTATGTATTGCTTCATGGATTATACTTTTTTCTTCCGGAAACTTAGAAATCTTGATAATACCCTGTGAGAATCTAGAAGTTTCAGACTTTATCCAGGGATCGAGCCCAGTCTCTTCCGTATATGCTCTATATAAGCTTGAACGAATTTTATCTGTCAAATGGCTTGGCGAATTAACCAATTTAGCATGCCAGTCCGAATATTCAGGAGTCAAGACTTTATCCATATTATTGTTTTATATGATCACAAATTCAAATTAAGTATGAGTCGTGTCTTTATCTTACTTATATAACAAGGATACTTACGTGCTGACACTCTGTGCATATCCCGAAATAGTAACTAAAAAAATAATATAGTTAATATTTACGATCATTTGAAACCAGAGAATTTGTCGAAGACAGTATGTCTTTATGATTTATGCTGTTATCTCAATTTCATGCTTTTCATATTTCATAAAATAAGATTCAGCTTCGTATCTACCCTTTACACTTTTTCCTTCCTCGTGACTGTGCTTGCATACTAGACATAAGGACCCTCATGAATTCCATAATAATCAAATTTTTCACTACTAAATTCTTTATATAGATCAGAATATCTCCACAATATCTTATTACAAAAGTAAGTATGGTCATGGATTGCCTCAGTTTCCAGTAGAGTTTTCTTAGCCTCCTCACTTACCTCAATTTCTGGTAATTTTGACAGTACCAACTCTGCTGATGAATTGTTTGAGCTAGATAGATCTGATATATACGCGTGACAATTTGTCATGCCGATCACTTTTTGGCAACTCATATCAGTTGTCTTGGGAAAATCATTTATTATATTTTGAATTTGATTATCCTTTAAACTTGAAATAGCACTTGCACTGTAAGTTATTTGACTAATTTTATCAATTCCTATTCCTTCATATAATATATATACTTTTTTTGCTCTGGAAGTTATTTTACGCAAGTTTATATCAGTGATATCAGAAAGGAGCGATTTTATTTCATTATATACTATCGTTCTTGCCGATTGGTCATCAATATTATTTGCAGTTTTAACATCATTGACTCGGTTTTCGTATGCTTTGTAATAACAATACCAGCACAAACTTTCCTTTTGTCGAATCTTCATTGCTACCCTAAATAGATCAACTATATTTTGTGATGTAACGTTATTAGATCCTGATAAAATCGCTTCTAAAGAGAATTCAGAAATCTGAATATCAAATACTTTACTGATCTTGTGGTTATTATCTTTGGTGCAAATAAATAGCCCGAGTCTTAAACCTCATTCTACTTTTTGATTATAAGGAATTTTCTGATTAGACGATAGATTAGTAGGCGATTTGGACTCAGAACCACATGATGAATTAGATTGATTTGATGAATTATTATCCAAAGATAACTCAGAACTATTAGAGATAGATTGCGATATTATAGATGATTCCAGATTTTGATTTTCATAGGATGGTTCCGATGAAGTACTATCCAAAGATAAGTTTTAATCTCGAAGTTTCTTTTCCCTGATTCTCTCCATTATCTCTTTACTAACACGTTCTTTATGTTTCATTTCTACAAAATCAAGAGTCTCGGCCATATCGACATCGATAATATTTTGTGGCAAAGAGGTTATAGATGATTCAGCTTTTTGGACCTGGGTTGAACTATGTTCTATTTCAGGCATAGGGTCAGGAGTAATAGCTTCCTCCTTATCAGGTTGACTCCCATTAAGTGGCGAAATTACTTTTGTGGGAATATCATCAGAATTTGAAATGTCATCGGACATATCTGATGTCAAAACACCCCCAGTTTGTAAGTCTATTTGTTCGGGAGTGACGTTAGAATTTTCCATTTCGGTAGAAACACTTACTGTCTTTTTCTCGGAAATTGGCAATTGCTCTGGAGAATCAGTGATAATTCCCTTTGATTTTAT